TTGCTTCAATCCAAAAAAATCCCTCAAAGCTCTAAAAAATATCTGGCCCAGGCCATTGACAATCAACAAGCAGCTTTCAAGTACCTCCGTGGAAAATTTCCAAGGTTAAGTGAAGCTAAGATAAAGGAAGGTGTCTTTGTTGATCCTCAGATTCGTGAACTTCTTCGAGATGATGCATTTGACCATGCACTGCGTGGCAAGGAAAAGACGGCATGGAAAGCCTTCCAGTTAGTGGCAATAAATTTTCTCGGAAACAACAAGGCAGATAACTACAGGTTGTTGGTGGAAAACCTCCTTAAGGCATACAAAAGCCTTGGTTGCAACATGTCACTAAAGATACATTTTTTGCACTCTCATCTAGATTTTTTTCCACCAAACTGCGGAGCAGTGAGCGACGAGCACGGCGAGCTATTTCACCAGGACATTGCAACAATGGAGAAACGCTATCAGGGCAAATGGATCCCATCAATACTTGCAGACTATTGCTGGACAGTGACAAGAGATGCTCCATTTAATGAATACAAGAGACAAGCCAAGAAGCGCCGAGTAGACACTGAATAGGACTACACTATGTACATAATAGTTTTTTGCCTTTTGTTTCATAATAAATTTTATTTATATAACCCTTTTGCTGATTTTTAAAGTGTTACATAAACAGGACAGGTGAAATAGTATCATGTAAAGCAACCATAAACACATGAAAAGACCTAGGTTTACAATTTATGATTAAAACTCTACTATCTACACAATATACATAGACATAAAATGTAAAAACTTAAATATCTTAGAAACAGTAGCCAATCAGTTGTTTTAATTGTCATATTTGAATTCAGCACATCAAAATACATAATAAATAGCACATTTTATCTCTGAAGCAAACGACTTCTCAAAAATTGTAGACCAGTGTAATTAATAATATTGTAAAATGTACATGTTAACTTTCTATATGATGTGATGAATTCCCTCTGTATAATGTCACTGGAAAATATTTAAGACTAAGAGAGCCCAGCCTAGGTAAAGGTGATAGGATAAGACAAGTCTGACCTAGACAAGGGAATGGGCGTTTACTTCAATTTACATATTAGCCATAAACAGAGCTATCAAGCTGAACCAGCAGGAGTTGTCTCGAGCCCAAATACGAGAGACAGAGAATTAACATGGCTCCTGCACCACATGGAGATACTGGAGATTGAATCCAATGAGACCTTCCTAACTTTGAGAACGAAGACAATTCTTTGGAAATATAAAGGACATAGAGAGAGTCCATCTTTATTTTTCACCTAAGACAACAAGGGAAACCAGCACCTCATACTTCTGTGAAAGGCCCTAGTAGACTGTCAGCCATGCTGGACAGAGAATAATTGGTGAGAGAAACCGTCTTAAACAAACAAAGACTACTTTGCTAGATTAAATTTTAGACTCTTCGATGCAGGTTTTCACTTTTACTTGCTTGTAACCATCTCTACACCTTTCTCTCTTATTTGGCATCACTTAACTTATGTCCTGTTGTTAATAAACTTGTTTTATTTTAATCTAAACCAATTCAGTGCTGTGTTTGAATGGAAGGAATAGTGAACTTCAGTTAATGTGGAGAGCAGTGGGTATTGACTCATGAAAGGAGTAAATTAATTAATTAATTTTCTGAGTGGTCCAGGAAAGGTCCAAACACCACAGAGCAGACCGTTCGGGGGAAATCTGGGACTGGACATGTGCTTGGGGTCACACCTGCCAGGATTAGCCACGGCTGGTGGAAACCAGGGTGGGACTGGTGTGTTGTGGCAGGCTCCTGGGGTCAGAGCACTGACTCAGGGCTGCACAGCACACAGGTACTCGGGATACTGCACGTTTATCTGGTGGCTGTTGGTGTCCAGGCTTTGAGCCGCAGTAGCAGAGTACTTAAGGCACCCAGAGTTACAGGGCAGGCAGTGACACAACCCCTGGATTGCCTCCCAAAATACCTTATAGCAATTTTATCTAGACCACATTTTCCTAGTTTGCTTATGAGAATGTCATGTGATACTATATCAAAAGCTTACTAAAAACCAAGATATATCACATCTACTGCTTCCCCCTATCCATTAGGCCAGTAACCCTGTCAAAGAAGGAAATTAGGTTGGTTTGGCATGATTTGTTCTTGCCAAATCCATGCTGGCTATTCCTTATAACCCTATTATCCTCCAGATGCTTACAAACTGATGGTTTAATAATTTAGTCCAGTATCTTTCCAGGTATTGAAGTTAGGGTGTCTGGTCTATAATTCCCAGGTCCTCTGAGATTTTTTTTTTCCATTTCCCTCCTTTCTTAATTTAGAAAGAAAAATCTCAGGTGAATTTAGTGCCTCTGAAAGCTTCTGGAGACCGAAGTCCTCTCTTTATCCACAAGACAGGAACAGCATGGGCAGTGGCAATGTGAGCTTTCCTACACTGCCCCAGCAAGGTGACTCAGCTCTCACTTCTAGGGGTGATAGAGAAATTAATTCCTTATGTGAATTAATTCCCTGACCTCACTACTGACACTGAGTGTCAGCAATGTTTCCAATTGGTGCTTGTTAAGGCCATATAAATCTAAACAACAAAAGTTCTCCCTTTTGTTTCTGTCCATAAAGCTCTTTCCCCAAACCCTAAAGTTACTAACAAAAATCCAAACATTTCAAACATCAAATCTGGCACTACAATTTCTCACTACAAAATGAAACAACTTTCGAGGTATCCAATATGCTATACCTCTATATAAAAAACTGCAGTCCTGA